CCTGGGCTGTCATGGTTTTTTGGGGTTTAGAGCATCCAGGGGCGTTGGGGTTTGAGGCATTTGTATTAGGGCCCTCGGGCTAACGGCTGCTTCACAAGTTTAGTTTAAGATTCTTTGGCGTTGGAACTTTGAATCTTTTTGTCTTCTATGTGGAGGATCAGAATCAGGCGACTCAGCAAAGTTCTACGCAAATCTCGACGCCGACCTGACCCCCCAAATAACCCACCGCTTTACAGACCGCATAAGGAAAAATCAGGAACCCTAGCCCTAAACCATCTAATTAGGTTTCTGGGGTCCAGGTAAACCTTAAGCCCTACCTGTAGTCTCCATTGTAGCTCCTCTTTTTGGATAAACCACTGTTAGGATCCTATAAGGTAACCCAAAATAGGAACTACAGTGGAGCCCTAAACCCTAAACCCTAAACCCCTAAATCCTGAATCCTAAACCGCTAAACCCCTAAATCCTAAATCCTAAACCCTAAACCCCTAAACCCCTACATCCTAAATCCTGAACTAACCCGTAAATCCTGAACCCTAAAGTCGAGCTCGCTGACCCAACTGAGAATGGCGAGCTGCAGAGTCGCCGCCGCAGTCGACGGTGATGTGGAAGACGAAACCGGCCAGAGTTCCTGCTACCCTAAACATCCCTGATACAGGGCCTTAATCATCAGAATAGGGCTTTGGGGTATGTTGTACCATAACCATAAATCATCATGAACCCCCAGTATAATATAGGTAACTATTAAGTATAACTATCACAAACTTGTGAGGTAGGGTGTAGGGAGGGAGGGAGGGAGTCCGTAGTTCAGGGCAAAGGTCGTTGATAGGGCTAAGGGGTGTTGAGCTAAGAGTTCAACCCTAAACCCTGAACCCTAAACCTAAACAATACATTTTAATCACTAAACCGTAAGCCTGAACCATAAACCCAAACTCAGGATTTTTTTTGGGGAATGTGAAGGATCTTCTTAAGGAATTCAGGTATCAGGGCTCGACTGTGATAGGGAGGCCTGAACAGTTCGTACGGGGTATGCTAGCCTATGATTCTTCGGGGAATTCAGATGTATATAAACCCTGAACCCCTTAACCCCCAAACCCTTAAGCCTAGCCAAGACGTGAATTTAGTGAACACTTCTTCAGGGCTTGAAGGTTGTAAGGGCTATCGTTTTGGACCCGCAATATACTCTACTATTGGTAACTATTCCAACCTCAGAACTAATATAGCTGCATTAACAATTACTATACTATAATTATCAAAAGGAACGCCCAAAACCCTATTCTAATTATCAGGCCCCTACATTAGGTTACAAGAGAAGGTCTCTAAGCCCGAAGATCCAAGATCCTAGCTGCTCAAACGGAGACATTGTGATTCAGGTGGTTCCCATATACGGTTTACGGTTTTGGGCTACAGTTTAGGATAGCCCGCCTCTAAAAAAAAAAGAAAGCAAAGCAAGGCAACCACGAACCGAGGAAGTTTCCACGACCAAGATTGGGCTTCGTACTGTGGTTTCTGGGTTATTCCTTCGCCCTTGTTGCAGTTTCTGGGTTCATGCGGCCAGCAAATTATGCTTTCATCTTGAAACCCAACCCCGGCTAACCCAGAATGCCAAAACCCTACACTCCCAATGACACCATAAACCCTAAAACGGTTTAGAGTTTAGGGTTTGGGTTTTAAGGGTTTAGGGCTCCCTACACCCTAAAGCCAGAAACCCTGAAGCCCTGCAGGCCAAAACCACTAAACCGCTTGCAAGATCCCTTGAAGGGAAGTCTCAAGGGAACCCGATAGCACCAGAAACTAGAAACCCTAAAGCCCTAAAGCCCGTAGAAAAGGAGTTAGGATTACGGGGATCCAAGGCCCCTTGTAAGAGAGCCATAAGTGGGTTAAGAAGGGTCCCCTTTAATTTGAGGGGCCCCTCCCTCAAACTGCCTAGCATAGAAGGCCCAACGAGCTTCCAACCGAGTCTTAAAGGTTTAGGGGGAGCCCAAACTACAGTGAGCAGTTTTGAATGCGGCGTGAGGCTATTGGGGGCCCGACAAAGCTGACCGGATCGGGGCCCGCCACTGGCAAGGCGGCCAAGAGCAGCTGCATGGGCCTCTTCTCTGCAGAA